CTTGTATTCTGTTCTATGTTCCCCTTTCCCCCTTTTCGAGTTGTAAGCCGCCCTGAGTCCCCCGAGGGAAAAGGGCGGCATATAAATAAATTACTCTAAATTCTCTAAACTCTAAACTCTTTCTCAGTTTCTTTTTATACGACCCCATGATTTCATGTGTGGGTTATTCCTGGTTTATGCAATTGGACAATTCCATGATCAACTTGGTTATGAATTCAGAGATGATCACAGTCCTGTTTCTTCAAACATTTTAAGGGTAGTTACAGAATAAATTATGAAGCATGTTAAAAATATAAGCAATGTGATAACAATATATATTATATGCAAATGAGGAATATTCCCTGTAGAAATAAATAAATGTATCAAACATTTATTCTGTGTTATTCAATCATTTATGAAAACCAAAGCTTACCTGAACAAGAGGAGGCATCTCCACTTATATTCTGAATCCAATCCCTAGAAACAATATATAGTGTGAGATATAATAAATTGCCATATCCTGTATGTATAACCTTACTGCAAAATCATCAGAACTTTTTAAAGTGCACCGCTAATTATAGCTAAAAATATTCAAATAATTTATTTGAATATTTATTATATTCAAATAAATATAGGGGAGAAGCATGTTTGCAGAAGGTTATGCTGGATTTTGAAATCAGCTGCTCCTTGCAACAAACAAATTCATGAAGGAAAAAAATAATTTGCAATGTTATTCATAATTTGTCTGTTATGGAGATATAGCAACATATGATTTATCAATGAAGAAAAATGGTATGTTCCATATACTATTTTTAACCACCAGCCTTTGGTTCTCCTAGCATACCTTCACAGAAAGGGGAGAACTTCCAACACATGAAAGAATCCTCATGCATCAGTGTGACATTAGGTACAGAAAAGCAAACAGGAAAAGATATAACATTTGAAGCTAATGTATGTGTGTATAATCTGTTAACCCTGCAGATTAACAGATATCAATCTGGAGCGTTTGAAATGATTCTTCAATGCAAATCAGAACAATCCACGGGAAACAAAAACAAACCCTTTTTTGGGGAGGGGACAGGAGCAAATGACCAAGGCAAAATAAGACCAGAGTGTCTAGGATGGACAAAATGGCTGATACTTGCCATTTTCCTAACTTCCTTATTCTCCATTTATACCAGGCACAAATGGGTGATCTCAATTTAAAGTAAGAAACTGTATTTTCCTCCTAAAAATATTGTAAACAATAATTGTGTGCATAATATGCCTTGCAGTACTTCTACAAAATGCAAATAAAGGCGAAAGTACCAGTTGGTTTGGAAAGAATAGTAAAGCAGGTTAGTGCAGTCTATAGTTGAAAACTTGGGAGATTGAGCTAAGAGGTGTGTTCTGATTCATGCAATTTGTTCTCTTATAGCCTAACTTGCTTATGCATGAAAAAAATCCAGAACACAACAGCCAAAACTGGGACGACAAAATAATAATTACAGTATTTAGATTGAAACAATACTAATTTCCTTTTTCTCACTTCTTCCCTTCCTCTCTGATACAATTAAAGGTTGTATTTTTCATTTATGACAGTTTGCCATATCATCCAAATCTGGCAAACTCTAATTAACCTTATTCAAAAGCACGGTTTATAAAGCTGCCTTATTTCCATAAAATATAGCTTAATTTAATTGCATATTAGAATTTAGATATAATACTAAAACATTGTCTTGGGCCACATACAAACTATATAATATCATTAATGTATAACTTTATATCAGTTTGTATAAATAACTTTATTTTTAGTTATTTTGTGGGTCCTGTCCAGAACTACCTGCAACCTGCGGGCTGTGCATTAGACATACCCAAGCTAAACTAAACATGACCTGATTTCGCAAAGCAAAATATTCAAGCTATTTTTTTACTTTGCATTTTATATATTCTGCATTGTATTTTAGAGAGTTTGGCTTAGAATTAAATTATGTTAAGTTGTATATATTTTATGAAAATTACAACATCCCTATTAATCTTCAATTCATATTATTTTCCCTAGTTCTAAAAACAAGTTAAAGTAGCAATTTATACAGTTTTTTAAAATTATGAGTAAGATCCATTGAAGTCAGCTACACCTACTTCTAAGTAAACATACACAAAATTATTTAAGTGTTCTGATCCCATTGTTCACTGGAAAGTTGTGAGTTTCTTCTTTTCTAAAGCGTTATAAACGAAGTTTTTCAGATATCTTTTTCTCTTTCATCCCATCCCTATTACTTTTCAAATTTTACTAACTATCCATATACTTAAAGTTCTTTTTCCAGATGAGGCAGAAAGAATTAGAAGAAGAAATAGTTTCAAAAGAATAAGAATAATAAAGGACTGTCAAGATGTTGTATTTTGTGCAATATGCATGCTTAGAACTGCTCATTGAATGACATTTTAGTAGTTGATTCACATAAACACATTTGATCTTCATTGTAATATATAATGTAGTTGCATCTCAGTACTTTTACCTGTTATTCTCATTTTCTTTGAAGATATCACCGCAAAGGGATTTATGGGGATTCCAACCACAGTATGGATCTCTTGCCAGGATACAGTCCACACAGGTACTATACTTCTCACAAAATGCAACAGGTGACTGGACTACTCCTGTATTGGATCCTGCATAGAGGTATTGCTTTCCCTGCAGAAAATACCAAGGCAATCGGTATAAGAGGGCATATTTTACTTCCCACCTCAAGCAAGAAGGAAGCTTCATAAAAGATTGAGCAACAGTATTTCTCAAAAGAAAATTCTGCTGTTGTGAACTAACAGCCTGTGTAAGCCACAACCATTGTCAAAACTAACAATATTAGGCTGCCATGGGACTAAGCTGCCTAACACAACTTCAGACTTCCAATTTGTACTGATTCCAAGGACCTTCACTTAATAAATTGTGGGATGTTATTGTTTTTTTACTGTGAACCAGAGGAGTAATGGAAACATCAAACATCTATGGTGTCTTATGGACAGAGTATTAAGACAATTACTTACTATATATTACTACAACTGTTGATGTTGCAACATTCTTTTCTCCATTAAAGAGATGATTGGGATGTTAATATAAGCTCCCAGCCCTAATCTTTTTAAAAGAGATAACTAAAATAGCTTATCGTTATTTTAAAATATGCACCGCTTGGTTTAAAAAGCAGGAATTAGATAAACAATGGAAATGAGCTTGTAACAAGCAGGACTCATCCATCATGCCTTCTAAACCATCAATGTGGTTTGCTTATTTATGGCTTGGAATGTTGTGTAACCTCAATCCTAGTGGTTTGTAAATCAAAGATTATGATAGGGATGGATAATCTTTTTCTGAACTATAAATGCAACTACGATGCCTTTGGTGGCATGGTGGTCACAGATAGGGGCCAATTGTTTTTAGGTGCTGGGTAACAACACACTTTCACTCTTAAGCCTATTTCTCAATCAACTTACTGTTTAAATTCAGTAGGAAAATTGCCAAGTTATCATGGCTTGATTTCAAAGTGTTTTGGGAAGATTTGTAGGTGAAGATGCAAATGGGAAGGGGTCTATCTGTTCTCATTTCTAGCATTATTTTTGAGAAACATAGGTAACATTCATGTTGCTGAAATTTGCTGCTGAATTTCAAGATGCCAACAATGGTTTGATCAACGAAGTATTATAAACAAATCGTGGCTGAGTACTGAGTGTGAACTCCATCACAGAAAACTGAATGATGTCAGATTATTTGTTATTTGTCCATTGAGCACAGTAATTCTGACACTAGCTCTCCAGGCTATTAGTCAACAGAACAAATTAAGATACATTAGACTTTTCATTCTTCATGAAAATATAAACTTATCTCTGAATGATCACATTCCTTCCTGCTTGTAGTCCCAAATCAAAAAGCTATACAGGTATCCTTAATTTAGGACTGCAATTGGGAAGGGATGCAGTTGTAAAGCATGACACACATAACTTGCAACATAATTGCAAGTCCCAGGTAGATTACAAATAGGCTGGCAGGTGGATTATGTCGCTGTTGCTGGGTGGAAAAAGGTGAGGAAGTAGAGGTGTAGTGTCAGCACAGCTGCTGCCACATGGGAAACAATGTCTGAGTGATGGGAGTAGGTGAGGCACAAGGGTAGCAGGTGCTATTGAGTGGGAGAAAGTGCAAGAGTGGCTGGGGAGGCGTGGTATGGGTGCAGCAATGCTCAGGAAATGTGTGCAGGTGGCTGGTGATGCACAGCACCAGCGTAGACCGGCTGGGGAAAGGTGCATGCATGAGGAAGATTAACCCAAGCAATTTGTGTCCTTCCCTGTCAGTTTCCCCCATTGACTTTTCTGATGGGAAGATGGCAGGGAAGATCACAAATTGTGATCACATAATTATGGGATGCTGCAAGCATCATAATGGGAGCCGGTTGCCAGACACCGCATAATTCTGATGGCTGGGATGGTTGGAACATGAAAACTGGTCAAAACTCCCACATGTAACTTTGGTTGCTGAACGAGTACTTGTTAACTGAAGACTATCTGTAGTCTCCAAAAGGCTGCATGAATACAAACAATTACAACTTGGTGCTTCTGCAACTAAAAGTGAGCATATTATGAGAATCTATTTGGGTGTTTGAGTCTTGGCATAGACTCAAATCTACCCATCACCCAGGGAGCTGCATCTGTCTTGCAGCCTAATTAATCACCCTGAATTCAGCAGCTGATTCCTCCCCCCCCCCAAATCCCCAATCTTTACATATTGCAAGCTTTGATTTCCTCAGGTCTCTTTTTTCCCAGGGTTACTACAATTTCCTTGCCTTCACTTCAGCCCTACCTTTTTTGAAGAAAGCAAGAGAGTCTGAATAGAATCAAAATTTGGGAAGAGCTGAATTTCTTCCATAATATGCATTCCATTTTCATAGCTGATTGCTTTGTGAAGAGCACCTTGATCTGAAATGACAGAAGGCAATCTTTTTGGCAGCCATGTAAAAATAAACACACATTGACCATGCTTGGGAGTCTACAGATTCCTTCTTCACAAGGGATTTCAAAACCTTTTAGCTTTCTCTGCTTTTTCAATGTTTTGCATATTGCTTTTTACTATATAACTTGCCTGCTTCAGCAGTTTTGCCCCTGATCCAATTTTTGCCTCAGCTTTTATCTCCATTCTGTTGCTTTTAATTTTAGATAAACTGCAGTGGTTTATGTATGCACCTCTTGAAAAGTAGAGTGGATTATATAACATATCCCATACCTGTATCAAATGAACATGCAACAATATACAGGTAGTCTTTGACTTACAACCATAATTGAGTCGAAAATTTCTGTTGCTAAGTGAGACAATTTTTAAGTGACTTTTGTCCCATTTTACAAGCTTTCTTGCCACAATTGTTAAATGAATCACTGCAGTTTGTACGTTAGTAACATGGTTGTTAAATGAATCTAGGTTCAATATTGACTTTGCTTGTCAGAAGATCACAAAAGCTGATCACATGACCCTGGGATACTGCAACCATCATAAATGAGTCAGCTGCCAACCATTTAAATTTTGATCACATGACCATGGAGATGATGCAGTGGTAATAAGTGTGAAAAAGTCATAAATCACTTTTTCCAGTACTGTTATAACTTTGAATAATCATTAAAGAGACTGTTGTAAGTTGAGGACTACCTGTAGTATCAGCCGCTACGGCATTTCCCAGAATTTTATCCAGTGATAGAAAGTTGACAATGACACAACCAGGACATTTTGTAATAATTCCCAGACTGAAAAGATAGTCTCTCTTTTACTTAAATTGCTAAATTTCAGTTAAGGTTTTCAAAGATACGAAGCAAAACTTCTGAAGATGCATACAGGTAAGTCTTTAACTTACGGCCATGATGGAGGCTGGAATTTAAATCTTAAGTTGTTACGGTCATAAGCCAAGGCACCTCCTGAGAGAACTTGATTTTACAACCATTTTTACAATGAGTAATCTTGGTCATTAAGAGAACTGTGTGTTTATTAATTGAATCCACCACATCCAATGGGCAACTTTTGCTATTTTCTACTGAAAAATGCCATACATTGTTGTTACAGCGATATGGAGTACTGCAACCAGTCAAAAAATTAATCTGGTTCCCAGGCGCCTGAAATGTGATTACATGACCAAGAGCGCAGTTGTAATTCCAAGGACTGAGTTGTAAGTAACTTTTAAAAAAATCCATAGTGATTTTTAATGGTCATTAAACAACTAATCTTAAGTCGTAAGAGGACTATGTAAGGAAGCACTTTTCATTAATTCTGGGCCCACTTTTCTCCCACTTTCAGTATAACTGAAACTAACAACATTGGATTGGCCTATTCAACTTCACTGAAAAGCCATATCATCTTAATACAATGTGGAAAACTCACCTGTCCCGATAAACATGACATCATACAACGTGCCATTCAATGCACGGACTTGGTCCACCACAATCTGGGTATACTTCACATCACGCTTGATCAATCTGGGTCTGTCTCCTATTGGGGTCACAGAATCATCCATCAAAGGATGGTCTTTGACGAACTGTAAGGTTTTATCAGGTAAGTTCAGTGTACTCTTAAAATTTTCTCCTTTGGCCTCCTTGTTTATACACTGTTCCATGAAAAATAAACATAAACACACACTATGATTAATGAACATTAAAAAGGAATAATACATACAGTCCTTGACTTACAACAGTTCAAACAGTGACTGTTCAAAGTTACAATGGCACTGAAAAAAGTGATTTAAGACCATTTTTCACACTTACGACTTTTGTAGCCTCCCTATGGTCATGTGATTGAAATTCAGATACTTGGCAACTGGTTCTTATTTAGGACCATTGCTGTGGCCCAAGGTCTTGTGATCCCCTCTTGTGACCTTCTGACAAGCAGTCAGTGGGGAAGCCGGATTCACTTAACAACTGGGTTACTTACTTACTGGGTTACTTACTTATCAACTGCAGTGATTCACTTAACAACTGTGGGCAAGAAAGGGGGCAAAATGGGAGCAAAACTCACTTAACAAATGTCTCATTTAACAGCAGACATTTTGGGCTCCATTGTGGTTGTACGTTGAGGACTACCTGTACAAGCTGTAAAATAAAGTCTCTGTTGCAAAAATTATCTAGCTGTATGAACTAATTTTTGTACTTTTTCAAGAGGCAAAACTCAAGACTTTCCAAACTGGATGAAATTAACCTCAACAATGGAGGAATTATCTCATGTGCCTTTTAATTCTCTTAAAAGATAGTCTTTGGAAATGAAACAGCACATTAGGAATCTTTAACATATAACAATCACAATAGCACAGTACTCTCTGAGCGGTTTACAAAAATCAGCATGTTGCCCCCAACAATCGGGGTCCTCGTTTTACTAACTTCGGAAGGATGGAAGACTGAGTCAACCTTAAGCCCATCAGGATCGAACTCCAGACTGTGGAACAGTCTTTGCTTACAATACTGCATCCCAACCACTCTGCCACTAGGACTCTTATAACATATGATCAAATAAAAATGGCGCTTATCATGTTTTTTAATGTTTTGTGCTGTTTTCTTTTGCAATGTATGCCACATAGCAATAGCAATAGCAGTTTGACTT